ACAAGGACACTTTTATGGAAAAAAACCTCCTTAACAATACAAAGAACCAAAAGTTTTATGCAAAATTCAGTCAAAAGTTAAACTACCAGTGAAGGAAAATTATGATAGTTGTAAAGCAATTGGTTTGAATCAGATTTATCTGGTTCACCAAAGGGAATAAGTCAAGAGAACCAATTAGAAGAGTCCTGAGTTGAGAACATATTTGTATGTTGTTTTATTCGTTTGATGTGTGTATGCTGCAGTCCGGTTTATGAACACATTATGACAACCAGTAACAAGGGGATTACTTTAACTTACTTCTCATAGTGGATAGGAATCCGAGGTTGAAATATGATCTTGAAATATTGTAGAAATATTGTCTGCACCTCAAACAGTCATTTACAGACTCAGTGGTTTGAGCATTGGCCTGCTAAACATAGGGTTGTGAGTTCAATCCTTGAGGGGGTCATGTAGGGATCAGGGGCAAAAATTGGGGATTGGTCCTGCTTTGAGCAGGGGGTTGGACTAGATGACCTCCTGAGGTCCCTTCCAACCCTGATATACTATGAAAGCAAATTCAAAGTAGGTGTAATATGAATGTGATAGCAGAATTGCACACCCAGTTTTCACTGATGTAAATAACCAGTCCCTAGCTGAATTCTAGTACCTGTACAGCACTTGTGAGTCCCATCAGAAAGAGAAAAAGAAAGCAGAATTTTCTTTTATTTAGATCAGTTTGGGTCACAAGCCTTCAGGGACTTACACAAGTGCTTAACTTGAATCATGTGAGCAGCTTCATTGAGTTCAAACCATCAACTCACATACTTGAAATGAAGAATATGGATATGTTTCACAGGAAGGGAGATGTAGAGAACTTTGCGGGGCATAAAAAAAGCCAAGTTTTTAGAGTATATTCATGAGGTATTGGAGGAAATTCATTATTCAACTAAAAACCTTTTCTGATTTTTTATAAGAAGAATAGTGCTCATACTTCCTTACAGGTTATAATATGTTAGGGAAAAGACATTACATTATTAATGGAGAGTAATTATTTTAGAAACCCAAATGTATCTTGTTATTAGTAAGGCTTTTGACTCAGTCCAACATCAGATTCTCCTAAACAAATTAGGGAAACATTTCCCTCAACCACATGTTAGAGATAAAAGGTGGGCACAAAACTGGTTGAAAGTCCAGACTCAAAGACTAGTTATCAATGGTTTCCTTTCTATGTGGGAGAGATATTTAGTGGGGACCCAAAGGAAGCTGTCCTGAGTCCAGTACTACACAATATATTCTTTAATGACGTTAGTAATGGTGTGGAGAGTACATTTATACAATTTCTGAATGACATCAAGCTGAACGGAGTTACAAGTATTTTGGAGGGCAGGATTTGAATTCAAAAGGACTTGACAAATCGGAGAATTCACAGAATCATAGAATAACAGACTTGGAAGGGACCTCTGGAGGCCATCTAGTCCAACCCCCTGCCCAGAGCAGGACCAATCCCAACTAAATCATCCAAGCCAGGGCTTTGTCAAGCCTGACCTTAAAAACTTCTAAGGAAGGGGATTCCACCACCTCCCTAGGCAACGCATTCCAGTGTTTCACCACCCTCCTAGTGAAAATTTTTTTCCTAATATCCAACCTAAATCTCCCCCACTGCAACTTGAGACCATTACTCCTTGTCCTGTCATCTGCTATCACTGAGAATAGTCTAGATCCATCCTCTTTGGATCTACCTTTCAGGTAGTTAAAAGCAGCTATCAAATCCCCCCTCATTCTTCTCTTCCGTAGACTAAACAATCCCAGTTCCCTCAGCCTCTCCTCATAAGTCATGTGTTCCAGATCCCTAATCATTTTTGTTGCCCTTCGCTGGACTCTCTCCAATTTCTCCACATCCTTCTTCTAGTGTGGGGCCCAAAACTGGACACAGTACTCCAGATGAGGCCTCACCAGTGTCGAATAGAGGGGAAGGATCATGTCCCTCGATCTGCTGGCAATGTCCCTACTTATACACCCCAAAATGCCATTGGCCTTCTTGGCAACAAGGGCACACTGTTGACTCATATCCAGCTTCTCGTCCACTGTCACCCCTAGGTCCTTACCTGCAGAACTGCTGCCGAGCCATTCGGTCCCTAGTCTGTAGTGGTGCACTGGATTCTTCCGTCCTAATTGCAGGACTCTGCACTTGTCCTTGTTGAACCTCATCAGATTTCTTTTGGCCCAATCCTCCAATTTGTCTAGGTCCCTCTGTATCCTATCCCTACCCTCCAGCGTATCTACCACTCTTCCCAGTTTAGTGTCATCCGCAAACTTGCTGAGGGTGCAATCCACACCATCCTCCAGATCATTAATGAAGATATTGAACAAAACCAGCCCCAGGACTGACCCTTGGGGCACTCCGCTAGATACCGGCTGCCAACTAGACATGGAGCCATTGATCACTACCCATTGAGCCTGACAATCTAGCCAACTTTCTACCCACCTTGTAGTGCATCCATCCAGCCCATACTTCTTTAACTTGCTGACAAGAATACTGTGGGAGACCGTGTCAAAAGCTTTGCTAAAGTCGAGGAATAACACGTCCACTGCTTTCTCTTCATCCACAGAACCAGTTATCTCATCATAGAAGGCAATTAGATTAGTCAGGCGTGACTTTCCCTTGGTGAATCCATGCTGACCGTTCCTGATCACTTTCTTCTCATCTAAGTGCTTCAGAATTGAGTCCTTGAGAACATGCTCCTTGATTTTTCCAGGGATTGAGGTGAGGCTGACCGGCCTGTAGTTCCCAGGATCCTCCTTCTTCCCTTTTTAAAAGATGGGCACTACATTAGCCTTTTTCCAATCTTCCGGGACTTCCCCCGATCGCCATGAGTTTTCAAAGATAATGGCCAATGGCTCTGCAATCACATCTGCCAATTCCTTTAGCACTCTTGGATGCAACGCATCCGGCCCCATGGACTTGTGCACGTCCAGTTTTTCTAAATAGTCTCGAACCACTTCTTCCTTCACAGAGGGCTGGCCACCTCCTCCCCATGCTGTGCTGCCCAGTGCAGTAGTCTGGGAGCTGACCTTGTTCATGAAGACAGAGGCAAAAAAAGCATTGAGTACATTAGCTTTTTCCACATCCTCTGTCACTAGGTTTCCTCCCTCATTCAGTAAGGGGCCCACACTTTACTTGGCTTTCTTCTTATTGCCAACATACCTGAAGAAACCCTTCTTGTTACTCTTTAACATCCCTCGCTAGCTGCAACTCCAGGTGTGATTTAAACTCCAGGTGTGGTCTAAAATAAACAAGATGAAATTCAATAAAAAAAAGTGCAAATTCTTATAATTAGGATAGAAAATGTCCTGCTCTATTCGTCACCAGTTAGGCCTCAGATGGAGTATTGTGTCTAGTTCTAGACGACACACTTAGGTAGGAAAGATGTGGACCAATTGCAGAAAGACCAGAGGAGAGCTACAAAAATGATGAAAGGTTTAGAAAACAGGACGAAACATTGGCAAATTTAGACCCGAGAAACCAAAAACTGAGGGGGGAATCTAATAACTGTCTTCATGTGTGTTCTAAAATGTTATAGAGAGGATGCGGATCAATTTTTCTCCATATCCACTAAAGATAGGACAAGAAAAAGTCTGGAGAAGAGAAGACTGAGAGGGGACATGATAAGAGTTTTCAAGTACATAAAAGGTTATTACAAGGAGGAGGGAGAAAAATAGTTCTTCTGAACCTCTGAGGACAGGACAAGAAGCAATGGGCTTAAATTGCAGCAAGGAAGGTTTAGGTTGAACATTAGGAAAAACTTCCTACCTGTCAGGGTGGTTAAGCACTGGAATAAATTGCCTAGGGAGGCTGTGGAATCTCCATCAGAAGAGATTTTTAAGAGCAGGTTGGACAAACACCTGTCAGGAATGGTCTAGATAAAACTTAGTCCTGCAATGAGTGCAGGACACTGGACTAGATGACCTCTCGAGGTCCCTTCCAGTCATATGGCTCTATGATAATCTGCAACAAGGGAGATTTAGGTTATATATAATCATAAACTTTCTACCTATCATGATACTTAAGCTCTGATTTTAGGCTTTCAAGGGAGGCTGCAGAATCTGATCAGTGGAGGTTTTGAAGAACAGGTTAAACAAACACCTCTTAGGGACGGTGTAGGTGTAGTTGGTCCCACCTCAGAGCAGAGGGATGGACTATATGACCTCTCGAGGTCTCCTCCTGCCTTATATTTCAAACAATTCTATGATTCTATAGAATATTTAGAACAGGGAAATATATTCTTTTTGAAAGTCATTCATTTATTCCCATTCTATTAGAGACAAGTGTAACAAGCGGGTAATTCCCTCTTGTGCAGAGAACCTTTGCACAATTCCTTTGACCAATTAATGTACTGATTCTCTTCTGTCTTATGAGCATGAGTGGGATTGATGCAGCACATAGAGCTTGTACTGACTTCCTGCAGAGGGGAGAATTTCATCCAGAGTGTTTTGGAAAGAAAGAATGGAGGGGAAAGGAAAACCAGAAGGCCGATAATATGATGCAGCATAATTTTTAATGGGAATGAGCATCGGAGTTTACACTTACAGAATGAATGCATGCAGAGGACAGAAATTGTATTTTCAGGGTTACAAAGAGAGCTACAACCAATCACCAGCTCCAAAGTGATGCGTGTCACACAATCTGTTCTGCAGTCTTGCAGCCAACCACGCAGTTTGAAAATCATCTCACATTTTCCACCAGTTTAAGTCACTTGGGGTGGACCGTTCAGCATCAAAAAGGACAAAGCATAATATGAGCATAAAACGAAAGTGCAAAACCACTAGACTATAAAGAAAAGGTAACATGTAACGAGAAGAAGCCATACAGAGGCCTGGTTTATATAGGCGATGAACACCCACAGCCCCCATTGATTTCGAGTGGAGTTGCAGGCTCCCATTTTTGAGAAGTTGAGTGGTGAATCTCCCTCTTCTCTTTCATTTCCTGGTTGTTTCTTCTTCCATGGATCTTTCTTCTGGGTTTAACATGGGCCACAGCTTCCACGGCGGGAAGAATAGCACCTGCTACCATATCTCCTCCCATACCCACATAAGTCCCCATAGCCACCCCCATACCCATACAAGCCCCCATAACGGCATAAGCCCCCATAACCATATGAGCCTCCATAACCGCATAAGCCCCTATAACCATATAAGCCCCCATAACCACCCCCATATAAGCCCCCGTAACCACCCCCATATAAGCCCCCATAACCACCCCCATATAAGCCCCCATAACCACCCCCTAAACCACCTCCATATCTACCCCCGTATGCACCACCGTAACCTCCACCATAACCAATTGAGCCACCCAAAATACCACCCCCAGATACACCCCCAGCTCCATAGGGTAGAGCTGGTAAGGTGCTTCGCACTACGCTGTGTTGAGGGGAAGTAGAGAGAATTGGTCCTGGGAATACCACGGAAACCGGTGGTGGATAGACCACTGCTGTCGAATCTCCACACGAGGTGATACAAGGCTCATTGCGGGCAACAACACATGGATCTGGGCATATGCCAGGATAATATGAGCTGGGTCGGTAACACAGGTCTTGGCAGGAAGACATCTTTTGTGGTGGTCGTAAACCTGAAACACACAGAAGGGAGCGGAGGAAACATAACACGCTGTGGGTAGAGCTGCTGGTCAATAGTTATATTTCAAACCTGACCTCCACGGTTTAATGGAAACAGCAAGGTCAGATCATCAGCCCAGGCAACCCATTGTGATTCCAGTGAAATCACCCGAGGAGCTGGCAATGTGTATTTACACATAAAGGCTCAGAGTATGCAGTCTATTATCCAAGTCGTCTAAGGCTGAGAATTTTCATAGCTGTCTGAAGAATTTACATGTCCAATCCCAAATTATAATTATTGGGAACAGAGGTCCAAATCCCATATGTAGATTTTAAAATCCCAACGAGATATTTTGAAAGTCAGCATGTCCAAACATCTACGATTGACTAGCTACAGAAAGTCTCCTGTGCAAAGAAAGACGCTTCCTGTCCCAACCTTTGTAAAATCACACCACAGGACTTAGGTCAAAATTCAAACTATCAATAAAGCAACAATTGGCAGCACTCGGAGCCGGAGAGACTTACCAAGTTCACCAATGGGAAGAAGTCAAGAGAGGTGGATAGAACAACCTGGAGTTGCAGGCACTTTTATACACCTTCTTAGCCAATGGGAAGGATAGTAGACACCCTTTATGCACTCAGACCTTGTTGTTAACCCAATAAACTATTTTCTTGAATGTGCAACTCCTCTAATTATTGTAATGGCTTTGGTCATGGTTAATGATTACTATTCAATTCACAGACCCACATAGGATGACATGCATGCTGCTACTGGCAATTCCCGGTCATCTTGTATCTTTATGGTCCTGATCTCATCATGGTATCATTCCATTGGCTTTCTTGGTGTCAACAACGGACTAAATCTACCTCCATTCCTTTAATTCTGCTTTGAATCATCTCAGACTATGTGGGTGACTCAGGGGTGTATCACTGATACAATCTGCTGTCATGTACAAGATTCCACATTAGTTCTTTTTATCCGGACTAGTATCTAATTAGCGGCAAGGTGGAGTTTACCCTTGAAACTCCTTGGAGGATCAGAGGTATTACTTAGCATGCTTGGAATACCTACCCATACCAATTCACTATGTGTTTGCGCCAACATGCTTTTGAAATCTGTGGATGTCTTTCCAATCAATGCAATGGCCTTCAAACTAGGCCTTCTGGATTACAATACTCTCCTGGATTCATGGTCAATTTAAGACCTATGAACAACTTCAATACCCGATAAGCCTTCGAAGTGGAGCTGAAGCAGGATCAAAATGGTGAATACATTTTTATTTTCTACCTCTGCCCAGAGATGACATTCAGCCTAATGGGTTTAGGCATTCCCCTCAGAAGAGAAGTGCAGTTAAGTGATCAGTGGTTTAGAGTCAAGGATTCAAGTGATAATCAAAATAGAACCCACAAAGTCTATAATCAAAATAGAACCCACAAAGTCTACTTACTGCAGTGGGAGAAAAGGACTATTTAGTCTGTATTCCTGTTGCAGAAAAGTTGGAATGTGTGGAAATCCAAACACAATTTGCCACGACCTGAACTTTTGGCTTGACGCGCCCAGGTGCTGATGAGCAAAATTTAGGGCAAGCACTTGGTTTAATTCTCAGGAGACTGTACTGGCATATATCTGCTGAATGTACATGGTTGTGATGTTGACATCACTATTATTTTCCTTGCATTGCACATGTTCCAGTACATTTTGTTATAATTTTGGAGTACATGTAGGGGTGTAGGTTTATTCGGGACTTGAGTTGGGATGACGGGATGGATATATATTTCCCAGCTCTGTGGAATTGAGAGAATATCCCTGTTTCCTGCTCCTTACCCCCCGATAGCTCCTAATCCTTGCTTGTACAGCTTCAGACACTAATAAAAGGGTGCCATTCTCTTTCATAGCAATTTATGGTTTCCCTGTTTTATGAGGCCAGCAATTCTCACAACACCCATATGAAACAGGTAGTTATTATCTTCTTACCTAAGAAAGTGATCACTGATGCCCAGAGCCTAACTGACTTGCCCAAGGCCACTCCAGTGGAAAGATTGGGAAACTCGGGCACATCTAATTCCTAATAGTTAACATTTGAACTCTTATATCTCCAGGATGCGTTCAGGGCTCCATAGTGCTGTTTGCAAAATAAGCCGGAGCAGGGTGCAGACAACATTACTCATGCCAGTGATTTAGTTAAGACTGAATCTCAGAATGCAAACCAGCTCTGTGCAGCATCAGAATACAGTTCCTTGGTTTCTAATTCATACGTGTCAGCAATTGATGCTGATAAACAAACAGAAAATGTTATTTTGTGAAAAGAGATCACTCAGCTTATGTAAGCCGTCATAGTTGACTTTCCTTCAATGGGGCAATGCCAACTTATAGCAGCTGAGAGTGGTGGCTCTCAAATTGCAGTTTATACTCATTTGAATTCAGAAATTTCCAGACTCAGTGCAACTACTTGTCCACATCCTTTAGTGTTCTGTCTCTTCTAGAATAAAGAAACAGAAACCTCAGAAAAATTATGAAGGACAAAGGTGTCCAATATAGAAGAAAATGCCATTTCTTCTTCTTCTTCTTCTTCTTCTTCTTCTTCTTCTTCTTCAAAATTTCTTCATTACACCCCAATGTTAGAGAATCTCTTTGTCAGTCTCTCTCTAATTATACCTGAATATATATGAGAGGCAATCACCATAGTTAAATGGAAATAGTAGGGTGAGATCCTAAGCTGGTGTAAATATGTTGACTCACATGAGTTAGCCAAGTATATTTCTACGTACACATATTAAAAAGGTACCAGAATAATGTTGTCTAATATCAAAGTAGCTTTAGCCTGAGACTTTTCTTCTTGTCTAAGGATATGAATTAAGCAGAATTAGTGCTCTCGATATGCTGCGTGGCTTTGAAAATAGCTGTTTTATAATTTGAAATACAAAATCCACCAATGCCTACAACTTACTAAGTAAAAAGAAACTTTTCTGGGGAAAAAAACCCTTAACAATACCAAGAATCACAGAGTTTCTCTGCAAGAATCAGTCAGAAGTTAAACTATCAGAAGTGCAACATTGACATAGTTATAAAGCAATTGCATTAAATCAGAATTACGCAGTTCACCTATGAGAATAAGTCAAGAGAAGTGATTAGCAGAACGCTGAGTTGGGAGCACATTCGTATGCAGTTTTAGCCCAGCAGAAGGCTAAGAGACACCCTGGGTGCAGGAAGAACGTGTCAATTACAAAACAAAATATTTTGCACAAGTAATTCTTCCCATGACTGGAAAATGTTATGATCACGGTTTAGGATTATAATTCTAACTCATGTCATGCACAAGAGTCCAAATTAGTTCTTTAAATCCAGTATGGTATCTAATTTGGAATTTACTCTGGGATCTCATTAGATAGGAGGGGATATTTTATTTTGCATGCTTTTATGCCTGCCCACCCACCGCTATTTAGAATGGGCCCTGATCCTAAGCCCACTGAAATCCAAGGCCATCTTTGCAATGAGTTGAGTTTCCTCCAAATAAGGACCTGAAGGTTGCAATCCTCTCCTCCATATAGGGACAGCAAAAAGACTATGCCCCATTTAGACGCCTCTTAAACATTCAAAGGAGTGCTAAAGGGGATTGAAGTGGAGCAGAGGTCTCTAGGCTGGCCCGCTACTCTAGGGTTAATTTCATTCTACCATGCTTAGGAACTTGGCTGTGAAGGGACCTACAGTCATGGGAGTTTTGAATCAACCCCAATGACGTTTCTGCACTGGACACGAGCTGGAAATCTGGCTCTCTATTTCAAGGAATATGTTGCTAGGCACTCCAGCTCTAGATGTTCTCTGTATTCTTTTTCTCTTTGAAGGAAAAGCATCCTCAATTTTTAGGCAGGTCTGTACACTTTTTAGCAGGCTGTTCTGACTCTACTTGAAAGCTCCCGAGTCCTTCAGCATAAAACATTAAGACCCAGAAGCCAAGAATTTCAAAAGTGACTGGTGATTTCTGATGCCTGCTTGAGGCAGGGAACAGAGTAGGAATTAAGCATTTTGAAAAACAGGGAATAACAAGGTAGGTGATGTTGGGCACCAATATCACCAGTCACTTTTGAAAATCTTGGCCTTGTATTAAGCCACAAGTGAACCTTGGTAAACTGATAACCTCCCTCTCTTTCATCTCCCCACATAGGAAAAGGGTGGTGGTCATAAATTACTCATTCTGGGGGGATTCCAATCTACTTATCCATGTGAGAATGTTGCACAGTGACTACTAACACAGCAGCTAAACCTTTCCTAGGTGAACTTCTCTGACAGAGGTGCTACTGGGTATTATTGCACAAAAGATATAGGACCAGAGGAACTACTGAGCAATTTCTATGTGCCTGGATATCCAAAGAGATTTCTCTAGTAAGCTTCATAGAGTCTTTTGTTCTTCCTGCTTCCCTAGTAATAGGAAACTATTTGAGGGATTTACTTAGCAGTTAAAAAAGCATTCTGAGAATGGTGGTATTGATTTCTAATGGTGGTATTGATCCGGTGCTAAGGTTGGTCAGATTCTTGATTAGTCTTATTTCTCCTGGAAGCTCATTCCTCAACCATGCCGCCTCCGTCCCCCCGATGACTAAGTAGACTTTATTTCCATCTCTCCTGGTATTCTTCCCAGGTTTTGTCAGGAACATTGTCCCTGAAGAACACCACTGACTTGCTAGGTTATGAATGGAAGTGCAGTTCCAAGATTTTAATCCTAAACCTTTAAACAACACTGCACTCCTTCCTTTCATCTACTGCCACTTTTTCATGCAACTCAGGGAAATAACTTCAGTAAGCAAACCTTGTGTATTCAATTTTGTTCATCGCTTGAGTCCTTGACTCTAAAGCACGGATCATGTCTTCAGACTGGAATGTTTAAGTGCTTTAGACTGAGTGTTATCTCCGGGCACGGCTAGAACACAAAAGAATATGCACCATTTTGAGACTGCTTCAACTCCACTTTGAAGGCTTATCGGGTATTGAAGTTGTTCACAGGTCTTAAATTGGCCATGAATCCAGGAGAGTATTGTAATCCAGAAGGCCTAGTTTGAAGGCCATTGCATTGATTGGAAAGACATTCATGGCTTTCAAAAGCATCTTGGCACAACACATAGTGAATACTTATGGGTAGGTACTGCAAGCACTCTAAGTAATACCTCCGATCCTCCAAGGAGTTTCAAGGGTAAACTCCACCTTGCTGCTAATTAGATACTAGTCTGGAAACAAAGAACTAACATGGAATCCTGTGCATGACAGCAGATTGTTCTAGTGATACACCTCTGAGTCACCCTCATATTCTGAAGTTATTCAAAGCAGAATTGAAGAAATGGAGCAAGATTTAGTCCCATTTTGACACCAAGAAAGTCAGTGGGATGATACCATGAAGATATCAGGCACATAAAGATTCAAGATGAAAGGGACCTGCCGGTAGCAGCATGCATGTCATCCTGTGTGGGTCTGTGAATTGAATAGTAATCATTAACCATGATCAAAGCCATTACAATAATTAGAGGAGTTGCACATTCAAGAAAATAGCTTATTGGGTTAACCACAAGGTCCGAGTGCATAAAGGGTGTCTACTATCCTTCCCATTGGCTAAGAAGGTGTATAAAAGTGCCTGCAACTCCAGGTTCTTCTATCCACTTCTCTCGACTCCTTCCCCTTGGTGAGCTTGGTAAGTCTACTTGGCTCCAATTGATACAATTGCTGCTTTAGTGAATGTTTTCACTTTGAACTAATTCCTGCTCTAATAGGGTGTGACTTTAGAAATGTTGGGACAGGGGCATCTTTCTTTGGGTAGGAGTCTTTCTGTAGCTAGCCAATTGCAGGTATTGGTGGATGCTGTCTTTTCAAACTATCTGGTTGGGATTTTCAAATCTGCATATGGGATTTGGACCCCATTCCCAAAAATTATAATTGGAGATTGGACATGGAAATTCCTTACACAATTATGAGAAATCTCAGCCTCTGTCTACTTGGATACTAGACTGCACTACTCTGACCCTTGATAAATAAATACACATTGCCAGATCTTCAGCTGACTTCATTGGAGTCACAAAGGTTTACTTGGGTGATGATCTGACTCTACCATTTCCATAAAACATTGGAGATCAGATTTCAAATATAATTTTTGAAAAGCAGTTCTATGGTCCTTTTCTGATATAGTTGTAGATATAGAAAAAACTCAGAGTATACACACAGACATATATATATATGTGTATATATATATATATATATATATATATATGTAATCTCCTTCAGGGCAAAGTTAGCCTGTGCTTTAGGTGTGTTGGGCAGAAAGTCACTTTAAGGGCACTATACTCCATAGTGGACAACTTCAGAACTCTTATACCTTAAATTGAGGCGTGTGATGCTGCACATTACTAGAGATAATATATTGGGTGAGATGGACCACTGACCTGATGCAATACGGCAATATTTGACTTTTTACTGGTACAACTCATGATTTTCGATCCAGATCTTTAGCTGCTGTAAGTCAAAGTAGCACATTTGAGTGAAAGGCAAGTATGATGATTTAGACGATCTGAGGGGTCTAGACCCTGTGTTAAACTGGTTTAACAAGAACACTTGAACAATTTACTGCACCTCCATAATTGTCTAAAATGGTTTGAAAATTGCAGCCATCCATGATGGAAATATTCTCTATTGTGGGTTAGGAATTAGTCTGAGTCTTTTTTACTCATCCTTCAGGGGCTGGTGGGAATGGAAGGTCATGTGGCCATGGCACAAATAGGGCCTCAGAAAACCTGCTTCAGGACATGCTCTCTGGCACAGGTTTCCTTGTGATCTTGGGCAAGTCCAATGGGACCAGAATCTCAAAAGAGCTCAGCACTCACTAATCCTAGCTGGACTGGAAACCTATCCTTGAACCTCCTGAAACCAAACCCACAGAGAGACTAAGGCATCTAACCGCCCCTTTCGTCCCAGGCAGAACCTGAGAGTGGGCATTCACTTTTCTATTTTACTTGTGGATCCCAATCCAGTAGATATTCTCAGTGTGCACCTACCAGTTCGCACCTCACGGAAAAGACAGCTGAGGCAACTATGTCAGCAATACTGGGGGCTGGCTGGTTGGTGTGGATGTTTATAAGAATACCCGGATACGTAGCCTGCAGAAAGGGACCTACATAGCCCCCATTATCATAGAACACCAGCGATGATTCTCCTATTCCATTGTCAACAACGTGTTATGTTTTCTCTGCTCCCTTCTGTGTGTTTCAGGTTTACAACCACCACAAAAGATGTCTTCCTGCCAAGACCTGTGTTACCGACCCAGCTCATGTTATCCTGGCATATGCCCAGATCCATGTGTTGTTGCCCGCGATGAGCCTTGTGTCACTTCGTGTGGAGATTCGACAGCAGTGGTCTATCCACCACCGGTTTCCGTGGTATTCCCAGGACCAATTCTCTCTACTTCCCCTCAACACAGCGTAGTGCAAAGCACCTTACCAGCTCTACCCTATGGAGCTGGGGGTGTATCTGGGGGTGGTATTTTGGGTGGCTCAATTGGTTATGGTGGAGTTTACGGTGGTGCATACGGGGGTAGATATGGAGGTGGTGGTTATGGGGGCTTATATGGGGGTGGTTATGGGGGCTTATATGGGGGTGGTTATGGGGGCTTATGTGGTTATAGGGGCTTATGCGGTTATGGGGGCTCGTATGGGTACGGGGGTGGATATGGGGGTGGCTATGGGGACTTATGTGGGTACGAGAGGAGATATGGAAGCAGGTGCTATTCCCCTCGCCGTGGAAGCTGTGGCCCATGTTAAACCCACAAGAAAGATCCACGGAAGAAGAAACAACCAGGAAATGAAAGAGAAGAGAGAGATTCACCACTCAGCTACAACACTACTCAAATCAGTGCGGGTTTTGGTTGTTCCTTGCCTGTATAAATCAGGCTATGCTTTCCTCTTGTTACCTGTTACCTTAGCTTTATGGTCTATATTGTTCTGCAGCTTAGTCTTATGCTCATATTGGGCTTTTGTCCTATTTGATGCTGAGGGAGAAAAAAATGGTTTAAGACAGGACATGACTGCCAAACTCTACAACTTCAAGAAAGAAAGCAGAATACCTTGTGCGAAATGCATCACCATGGACCGGTGACTGGTTGTAGCTCTCTTTGTAACCCTGAAAGTATATTCTTTGTACTCTGCATTACTTCATTCTGTGAGTGTAAACGGCACTGCTCATTCCCATTAAAAATTATACTGCATCATAGTATCGGCCTTCTGGTTTTCCTTTCCCCTCCATTCTTTCTCTCCAAAACACTCTGGGTGATTTTCTCCCCTGTGAAGATGTTTAGTACCAGCTCTATGCACTGCATCAATCTCACTCAAGCTCATAAGTAAGAAGAGACTCAGACACATTCCTTGGTCAATGGCATTGGGCAGGTCCTCTGGACCGGAGGGAATTTCTCTCTTGATGCACATTTCACTACTGGTGTTATTGAATGGGAGTTTTCCTTCCTGCAGAGGTATCGTTACCACACCGTGTAACTCAGAGGTCCCCACACTGTGGAGCACTCCCCACTGGGAGAGTGTGGGGGGTGGAGGAACATTCAGGGGAGGGTGCGATGGAGCCCGGGCCAGCCCCGACAGGGGACAGGGAAGGAGCACCACCTAGCCCTGCTCTGAGCTCCTCTCCTACTCCGCCCCCAGCTGCAGCCTCGGGTCCGTGCCCAGCCTTGGCTCCAGCCATGGCTCCGCCCATGCTGCTGGCCCTGGCCCCACCCTTGGCCCCGGTTCCCACTCCATTCCCAGGCCCACACCACCCCCAGCTGCCACCCCAGCCTCAGCCCCCTTACTCCTGTCCACATCCCCAAACCCTGGGAGCTGCAGCCCCACTCCCGGATCTGGCTCCGGGTCAGGGACTGTGGTCAGGGGAAATGTTTGAAAAGTTTGGGGACCACTGATCTAGCTACATATCACCAAAAGGATAGGATGGAAAGAAATAAATGCCTTTCAACTTTAATATAGTTCCCTGTTCAAAATATTTTATTCATGGGGCTCAAAAATAATTACTCTCCTCTTATACTTTAATATATCATGTTAGCTAACTTTTAAGGGTGTGTGAGTGCTGCTCTCCTCGGAAAAAAAATCCGAAAGATTCTTTTAGTAGACTCATACATTTCCTCCAGTTGAGAGCTCATCTATAAGTTCTAAAACATGGCTTGTTTCACCTCTCACAAAATGTTCTAAGGCTCTGTTCCTGGAAACCCAATGCACGTCCTTCACTTTAAACGTGTGGTTGAACTTAAGAGGCTATTGAAATGGTTCAAGGTTAGCAGCTCTGTAAGTTCCTGCAAGTTTGTGGCCCGAGATTGCATAAATAAAAGAAAATTCCTCTCCTCTTTTCTTGGCATTATATAGTGAGAGACAGAGGTTAGAATCCAGCTAGGGAGCAGTCATTGACACCAGTGCCAAATGTGTTTCAGATACTACAAATCTTCTATATTACATGCACTTTCAATTTATTTTTGGCACATGGAAATGAATGTTTGAGGTGCAGAAGACTGGGGAATTTTTCTCATTTCAGCTTCATAGTGGAACCTTGGTCTCCTATCCACTGGAGATACGTTAAAGTAACCCCTTGTCAGTGTTTGTTTTGATGTGTTCATAAACTGGATTGCAACAATTTCTAGTATTTCATCCCATAGTCAAATGAGGCGATCTAACGTTGATTTATCAGAAAATGTGGGTTGATGTATCTATGCACTGATAGACAGGATTTAGGGTAAACGGCTGATTTTACCCTCAGGATGCTGTATTGGGATACAGCTGGTGAATGTGTTGTTTTTGTTGTGACGTTCACTAACCACAGTGGGGGGTTTCTATTTGGGTCAAGCCAAACTGTGTTCAGGTTTCCACGTTTCAATACACTTTGTCACAATTTTAGAGCATATGTAATTTTGGAACGGGGGGTGTAAAGCGATTCAGTGTTTGGGGAGGGCTGGTGAGGAGGGAGGGGTATATATCTCACACCTCTGCAGCCTTCAGCCATAGCTGGGTCTGAAAAACTCACTAGCAGGGAATATCCCAGGGGTGACCTAATCCGGTCTATAGCGTGGAGAGTGGCTCTCCGGTAAACCACACGTCCAGCCGTGACCTGGGCAGGAAGACCGTGTTTCTGACTGGTTAGCCATTTTGACCATGGGGTCTGCCGGTCAGGACAAAGGGTGGTTCAAATTCAGCAGCTCCCACCACAGTTCCACTGAAAAGTCAACACTCATTTTCCTCTGCCGGTTGTTTGCATTCTTGTGGTTTCTTTATGTAATTGAAATCTTTGCAGTTCTCCCCTTGGGCAATAGCACTCGGGTAGGATATGGTGAGGCTTTCTCAGAAGAACAGATTTTGGTTTGATTCACAAACACTCACTGATATTTTGTATATCAATGGTCTTCTATTATTACGATGTCAGGAGTATGTTACCTGAGGGGGAGGCCCAATTTGGAGTACTAGTGTCATTTTCAAATATGTGTGTAAAAGTCTGTACTGTCATTTCCCGAATCAGGTGGTGCTTTATAGCCTGGGAATTTAATCATAAACTTTCTACCTATCATGATACTTAAGCTCTGATTTTAGGCTTTCAAGGGAGGCTGCAGAATCTGATCAGTGGAGGTTTTGAAGAACAGGTTAAACAAACACCTCTTAGGGACGGTGTAGGTGTAGTTGGTCCCACCTCAGAGCAGAGGGATGGACTATATGACCTCTCGAGGTCTCCTCCTGCCTTATATTTCAAACAATTCTATGATTCTATAGAATATTTAGAACAGGGAAATATATTCTTTTTGAAAGTCATTCATTTATTCCCATTCTATTAGAGACAAGTGTAACAAGCGGGTAATTCCCTCTTGTGCAGAGAACCTTTGCACAATTCCTTTGACCAATTAATGTACTGATTCTCTTCTCTCTTATGAGCATGAGTGGGATTGATGCAGCACATAGAGCTTGTACTGACTTCCTGCAGAGGGGAGAATTTCATCCAGAGTGTTTTGGAAAGAAAGAATGGAGGGGAAAGGAAAACCAGAAGGCCGATAATATGATGCAGCATAATTTTTAATGGGAATGAGCATCGGAGTTTACACTTACAGAATGAATGCATGCAGAGGACAGAAATTGTATTTTCAGGGTTACAAAGAGAGCTACAACCAATCACCAGCTCCAAAGTGATGCGTGTCACACAATCTGTTCTGCAGTCTTGCAGCCAACCACGCAGTTTGAAAATCATCTCACATTTTCCACCAGATTAAGTCACTTGGGGTGGACCGTTCAGCATCAAAAAGGACAAAGCATAATATGAGCATAAGACGAAAGTGCAAAACCACTAGACTATAAAGAAAAGGTAACATGTAACGAGAAGAAGCCATACAGAGGCCTGGTTTATATAGGCGATGAACACCCACAGCCCCCACTGATTTCGAGTGGAGTTGCAGGCTCCCATTTTTGAGAAGTTGAGTGGTGAATCTCTCTCTTCTCTTTCATTTCCTGGTTGTTTCTTCTTCCGTGGATCTTTCTTCTGGGTTTAACATGGGCCACAGCTTCCACGGCGAGGGGAATAGCACCTGCTGCTACCATATCTCCTCCCATACCCACATAAGTCCCCATAGCCACCCCCATACCCATACAAGCCCCCATAACGGCATAAGCCCCCATAACCATATGAGCCTCCATAACCGCATAAGCCCCTATAACCATATAAGCCCCCATAACCACCCCCATATAAGCCCCCGTAACCACCCCCATATAAGCCCCCATAACCACCCCCATATAAGCCCCCATAACCACCCCCTAAACCACCTCCATATCTACCCCCGTATGCACCACCGTAACCTCCACCATAACCAATTGAGCCACCCAAAATACCACCCCCAGATACACCCCCAGCTCCATAGGGTAGAGCTGGTAAGGTGCTTCGCACTACGCTGTGTTGAGGGGAAGTAGAGAGAATTGGTCCTGGGAATACCACGGAAACCGGTGGTGGATAGACCACTGCTGTCGAATCTCCACACGAGGTGATACAAGGCTCATCGCGGGCAACAACACATGGATCTGGGCATATGCCAGGATAATATGAGCTGGGTCGGTAACACAGGTCTTGGCAGGAAGACATCTTTTGTGGTGGTCGTAAACCTGAAACACACAGAAGGGAGCGGAGGAAACATAACACGCTGTGGGTAGAGCTGCTGGTCAATAGTTATATTTCAAACCTGACCTCCACGGTTTAATGGAAACAGCAAGGTCAGATCATCAGCCCAGGCAACCCATTGTGATTCCAGTGAAATCACCCGAGGAGCTGGCAATGTGTATTTACACATAAAGGCTCAGAGTATGCAGTCTATTATCCAAGTCGTCTAAGGCTGAGAATTTTCATAGCTGTCTGAAGAATTTACATGTCCAATCCCAAATTATAATGATTGGGAACAGAGGTCCAAATCCCATATGTAGATTTTAAAATCCCAACGAGATATTTTGAAAGTCAGCATGTCCAAACATCTACGATTGACTAGCTACAGAAAGTCTCCTGTGCAAAGAAAGACGCTTCCTGTCCCAACCTTTGTAAAATCACACCACAGGACTTAGGTCAAACTATCAATAAAGCAACAATTGGCAGCACTCGGAGCCGGAGAGACTTACCAAGTTCACCAATGGGAAGAAGTCAAGAGAAGTGGATAGAACAACCTGGAGTTGCAGGCACTTTTATACACCTTCTTAGCCAATGGGAAGGATAGTAGACACCCTTTATGCACTCAGACCTTGTTGTTAACCCAATAAACTATTTTCTTGAATGTGCAACTCTTCTAATTATTGTAATGGCTTTGGTCATGGTTAATGATTACTATTCAATTCACAGACCCACATAGGATGACATGCATGCTGCTACTGGTAATTCCCGGTCATCTTGTATCTTTATGGTCCTGATCTCATCATGGTATCATTCCATTGGCTTTCTTGGTGTCAACAACGGACTAAATCTACCTCCATTCCTTTAATTCTGCTTTGAATCATCTCAGACTATGTGGGTGACTCAGGGGTGTATCACTGATACAATCTGCTGTCATGTACAAGATTCCACATTAGTTCTTTTTATCCGGACTAGTATCTAATTAGCGGCAAGGTGGAGTTTACCCTTGAAACTCCTTGGAGGATCAGAGGTATTACTTAGCATGCTTGGAATACCTACCCATACCAATTCACTATGTGTTTGCGCCAACATGCTTTTGAAATCTGTGGATGTCTTTCCAATCAATGCAATGGCCTTCAAACTAGGCCTTCTGGATTACAATACTCTCCTGGATTCGTGGTCAATTTAAGACCTATGAACAACTTCAATACCCGATAAGCCTTCGAAGTGGAGCTGAAGCAGGATCAAAATGGTGAATACATTTTTATTTTCTACCTCTGCCCAGAGATGACATTCAGCCTAATGGGTTTAGGCATTCCCCTCAGAAGAGAAGTGCAGTTAAGTGATCAGTGGTTTAGAGTCAAGGATTCAAGTGATAACCAAAATAGAACCCACAAAGTCTATAATCAAAATAGAACCCACAAAGTCTACTTACTGCAGTGGGAGAAAAGGACTATTTAGTCTGTATTCCTGTTGCAGAAAAGTTGGAATGTGTGGAAATCCAAACACAATTTGCCACGACCTGAACTTTTGGCTTGACGCGCCCAGGTGCTGATGAGCAAAATTTAGGGCAAGCACTTGGTTTAATTCTCAGGAGACTGTACTGGCATATATCTGCTGAATGTACACGGTTGTGATGTTGACATCACTATTATGTTTTCCTTGCATTGCACATGTTCCAGTACATTTTGTTATAATTTTGGAGTACATGTAGGGGTGTAGGTTTATTCGGGACTTGAGTTGGGATGACGGGATGGATATATATTTCCCAGCTCTGTGGAATTGAGAGAATATCCCTGCTTCCTGCTCCTTACCCCCTGATAGATCCTAATCCTTGCTTGTACAGCTTCAGACACTAATAAAAGGGTGCCATTCTCTTTCATAGCAATTTATGGTTTCCCTGTTTTATGAGGCCAGCAATTCTCACAACACCCATATGAAACAGGTAGTTATTATCTTCTTACCTAAGAAAGTGATCACTGATGCCCAGAGCCTAACTGACTTGCCGAAGGCCACTCCAGTGGAAAGATTGGGAAACTCGGGCACATCTAATTCCTAATAGTTAACATTTGAACTCTTATATCTCCAGGATGCGTTCAGGGCTCCATAGTGCTGTTTGCAAAATAAGCCGGAGCAGGGTGCAGACAACGTTACTCATGCCAGTGATTTTGTTAAGACTGAATCTCAGAATGCAAACCAGCTCTGTGCAGCATCAGAATACAGTTCCTTGGTTTCTAATTCATACGTGTCAGCAATTGATGCTGATAAACAAACAGAAAATGTTATTTTGTGAAAAGAGATCACTCAGCTTATGTAAGCCGTCATAGTTGACTTTCCTTCAAAGGGGCAATGCCAACTTATAGCAGCTGAGAGTGGTGGCTCTCAAATTGCAGTTTATACTCATTTGAATTCAGAAATTTCCAGACTCAGTGCAACTACTTGTCCACATCCTTTAGTGTTCTGTCTCTTCTAGAATAAAGAAACAGAAACCTCAGAAAAATTATGAAGGGCAAAGGTGTCCAATATAGAAGAAAATGCCATTTCTTCTTCTTCTTCTTCTTCAAAATTTCTTCATTACACCCCAATGTTAGAGAATCTCTTTGTCAGTCTCTCTCTAATTATACCTGAATATATATGAGAGGCAATCACCACAGTTAAATGGAAATAGTAGGGTGAGATCCTAAGCTGGTGTAAATATGTTGACTCACATGAGTTAGCCAAGTATATTTCTACGTACACGTATTAAAAAGGTACCAGAATAATGTTGTCTAATATCAAAGTAGCTTTAGCCTGAGACTTTTCTTCTTGTCTAAGGATATGAATTAAGCAGAATTAGTGCTCTCGATATGCTGCGTGGCTTTGAAAATAGCTGTTTTATAATTTGAAATACAAAATCCACCAATGCCTACAACTTACTAAGTAAAAAGAAACTTTTCTGGGGAAAAAAACCCTTAACAATACCAAGAATCACAGAGTTTCTCTGCAAGAATCAGTCAGAAGTTAAACTATCAGAAGTGCAACATTGACATAGTTATAAAGCAATTGCATTAAATCAGAATTACGCAGTTCACCTATGAGAATAAGTCAAGAGAAGTGATTAGCAGAACGCTGAGTTGGGAGCACATTCGTATGCAGTTTTAGCCCAGCAGAAGGCTAAGAGACACCCTGGGTGCAGGAAGAACGTGTCAATTACAAAACAAAATATTTTGCACAAGTAATTCTTCCCATGACTGGAAAATGTTATGATCACGGTTTAGGATTATAATTCTAACTCATGTCATGCACAAGAGTCCAAATTAGTTCTTTAAATCCAGTATGGTATCTAATTTGGAATTTACTCTGGGATCTCATTAGATAGGAGGGGATATTTTATTTTGCATGCTTTTATGCCTGCCCACCCACCGCTATTTAGAATGGGCCCTGATCCTAAGCCCACTGAAATCCAAGGCCATCTTTGCAATGAGTTGAGTTTCCTCCAAATAAGGACCTGAAGGTTGCAATCCTCTCCTCCATATAGGGACAGCAAAAAGACTATGCCCCATTTAGACGCCTCTTAAACATTCAAAGGAGTGCTAAAGGGGATTGAAGTGGAGCAGAGGTCTCTAGGCTGGCCCGCTACTCTAGGGTTAATTTCATTCTACCATGCTTAGGAACTTGGCTGTGAAGGGACCTACAGTCATGGGAGTTTTGAATCAACCCCAATGACGTTTCTGCACTGGACACGAGCTGGAAATCTGGCTCTCTATTTCAAGGAATATGTTGCTAGGCACTCCAGCTCTAGATGTTCTCTGCATTCTTTTTCTCTTTGAAGGAAAAGCATCCTCAATTTTTAGGCAGGTCTGTACACTTTTTAGCAGGCTGTTCTGACTCTACTTGAAAGCTCCCGAGTCCTTCAGCATAAAACATTAAGACCCAGAAGCCAAGAATTTCAAAAGTGACTGGTGATTTCTGATGCCTGCTTGAGGCAGGGAACAGAGTAGGAATTAAGCATTTTGAAAAACAGGGAATAACAAGGTAGGTGATGTTGGGCACCAATATCACCAGTCACTTTTGAAAATCTTGGCCTTGTATTAAGCCACAAGTGAACCTTGGTAAACTGATAACCTCCCTCTCTTTCATCTCCCCACATAGGAAAAGGGTGGTGGTCATAAATTACTCATTCTGGGGGGATTCCAATCTACTTATCCATGTGAGAATGTTGCACAGTGACTACTAACACAGCAGCTAAACCTTTCCTAGGTGAACTTCTCTGACAGAGGTGCTACTGGGTATTATTGCACAAAAGATATAGGACCAGAGGAACTACTGAGCAATTTCTATGTGCCTGGATATCCAAAGAGATTTCTCTAGTAAGCTTCATAGAGTCTTTTGTTCTTCCTGCTTCCCTAGTAATAGGAAACTATTTGAGGGATTTACTTAGCAGTTAAAAAAGCATTCTGAGAATGGTGGTATTGATTTCTAATGGTGGTATTGATCCGGTGCTAAGGTTGGTCAGATTCTTGATTAGTCTTATTTCTCCTGGAAGCTCATTCCTCAACCATGCCGCCTC